TGTATGCAGCAGTAGGCAACCTTTCAGAGGTTGAGGTCTACCTGGACAACATGAAGTAAAGCACCCCCAGGGGACAGTAGTGTCCTCTGTCCCCCTTTACATCAGCCCCCACTGTAGTGTCCTGTACTCCCCCCCCCCCCCCCCCCTCCTACCAACAGTGCCTCCTAAGCACACACACACTTTCCTTCATATCACTCACACACAAGCACGGGTAGCACTTCATATCAGTCAGTGTGTGTACAGCAGATCAGAAGACAAAAGTGCTGGGTGGAAGGTGGGAGCAGGAGCTGCCAAAGTTGATAATACCAATCTGTTGACTGGTTTCTAGGACAGCCTAGCAACCAATCACTGAGCAGCATCCGCCCCCCCACCCAGCACTATGTTGCCTCCTGCTCGCCTGGTAACATGAGAGCGGTAGAGGCTTGGAGGGGGCAGAACAGCGGTCACGATCGTCCTGTAAACTCCCCATGGTCGACCGGTCAATTGTGATCGATGGGTTGCTGACCCCGCACCAAGGCAAGCAAAATTAAGGTCAACTGCCTTATTAGGAATACCTTTCCATTACAGACAACTAAAATGCAAATTATGTACACATTTTATAATAGAATAATTTTACCTTTAATTCGCTCAAAGAGATATTCCTGATTTGGGGTGATGTCCAAATACTGCACAATGGGATTTAATGTTGGGATAAGAGAGGCTTTTACCAGAGCTGCTTGTTTTAAAACTGGTAATGCTGGATTCTGGAAAAAAAAATAAATTATTAACTGGTGCCTACTTGAAACTTGTTTATGTATACACCAGAGATCAGCCCAAATGAATGCACCTTTAGACCTGCAATCAGCCCTAAACCTGCAATAATCATTCCAGCTCAGGTTAAATATAGTAAACCAACACCCACTTGATCATCACGGTGCTGCTACTGCACCGAAAAAAAACACTTTTACCCCCCTTCCTACCCAAGCCAATTTTCAGCGCTCTTGCATTTTGTATGACAATTGCGTGTTCATGCAACGCTGTACCCAAACTCTAGTTTTTATCATTTTGTTCACACTAGAGCTTTCTTTTGGTGCTATTTAATCACCACTGGGTTTTTTTGCTAAATTAATGAAAAAAAAAAACAAAAAAAAAAAAAAAAACAAAAACCCGTTTTTCTTAGTTTGTTATAAAATTTTGCAAATAAAAAAATTGTTCATAAACATTTTATTTAGTCTGTAGGAAAGTTATGGAGTCCACAAACTATGGTATATATCTCAAAATCTATCAATTCTGATGTACTGATGGCCTCTCTCTTCTTGAAGCCCAAAAAACTTTTAGGACAGTACTGATATCTCCCAAATGACCCATTTAGTAAGAGGCCTGGCAAGTTTTTTTAAAGATATAATTTTTTGGCAAATGACGGAAAAAAAAAAATCGGCCAAAAAAAAAAAAAAACACACCACGGCGGGCAATTTCTTTTTTTTTTTTATACGGTCACCAGTGCAGTACAGCGTCAAAAATATAACTGGTTTGGCGGTAATCAGGGACACCGAACTTCCCCAGAGTAGTACAATTATTACTATGGTAACATTCTAATATGGTCACTGTTTAAAAAAAAAAAAAAATATGTTTTTCAATTTTTTTTATTGTGTTTTTTTTTTTTTTTTTTTAAACAGTGACTATAGGAGAATGTTACCATAGTAAAAAATATACTACTCTAGGGAAATGAAGGAGTTTTTTTTTTTTTTTTTTTTTAACTACGCATTATGATTGCTTTAAAGCAAGCATTTAACTGAATGAAAGGTTTTTTGTTGCGATTATCTGATTGGCCACAGCTAATCACGACACAGATGACGACACAATTGGCCCAGTCTATACCATGTCATCACTGAGGCCAATCACAGCTAGTGACACAATTGTATACAATGTATGGCATGAAAGGAAGCCCATCCCTTATTTACAATTGTCATGTGACCTGCTGTAACTGGAACAACAGTCACATGGTACTGGCAAGGGGCCAGTACACAGATCTGTCATCGGCTGTGTCCAATTGACAGTCTGTGACAGATCTCGCCGCAGCGCAGGCCCCACGGCGCGATCCGGGAGGACATCCTATGATACCCACCTGTGATTAATGAAAGTGCCGCTTGGCCGTCATTTTGCTATTGGCCGTGTGGGAAAATAGGTAACTTCTGCAACTGTCCAGCTGCTGTCTGGTTGCTAATAACGACACTCAGCAGCATCACTGGATGCTTTTTAGGATGTCCATTGCCAAGCCTGAGGCACCAGCAGAGAGCACTGCTTTCCCATTGAAAAAATGTGGAAGCCAATGGCAGAATGGTCACTGAAAAAAAGGCTTTTCTGCATTAACCTCCCTAGCGGTCTGATTATGTCCATATTTCTGTGCTCAAAGCGGTACATTTTTTTGCATGGAAATATACATATACATATATATATATATATGTATATATATATATATATATATTTTTTTTTTTATATATTGTAGGCCTGTAATTTTTAGGACTCACTGAAATCTGTTCCGAACAAGAGTCTATTAAACATCCCGGGTATGATAAAATTTGAAACACAAAATCATAAATTATAATTTAATAAATAATCAAAAAATATAATAAATTTAATAATATAATCAAACCAAAAAACACTGAAATTTGAAATATAGCGCCAAGTTTGCACATCGCTGAGCAAAGTCACAAAATCGTTTTTCAGTGTCTGATGACGAATTTCCCCACGAATCATTATCACTCAATTCTGCAAGTGGTTCTGATTTTCTATCGCTGTTCTCTAGCTATTCTAAAAAAAAAAAAAAAAAAAGGAATGGAGGAAAGTTCCCCAGCTGAAGGGGAGATTTCAGATAGGTGAAGGGAGTCAGAGCTGCATGGAACATACTGAGCCCCAGGGGACTGCGTCCAGCTTCCTACCTACCTACCTGCAGAAGAAAGTATTTGGGGGGACCCACACCAACACCATCCACTCTGCTGTCCAAGTATTAACTGAGAGAACATATTGCCAGAAAGCACCAGTATGCTGGTTACCCCAGGAGATTTCCTACTAAATCTGCCAGTGCCCCACAACAAAGAAAGATTGTGTGGTTCGTTTAATACTTGCAGAGACCTGTAGTCCCACCAGGAAAGCTGTTGCAACATGTAGTCCCACCATCAATCTGCTGAGATCTGTAGTCTCACAAGGAAGGCTTACTGTGACCTGTAGTCCATTTACAAGCAATCTGTTTGTCTGCAACCTGTAGTGCCACAAGGTAGTGCGGACGCTGCATCATGTTCTCCCACTGAATGCACTATTCTGCTGCAACCAGTAGTCCTACAAGGGCTCGTACTGCCGCAGATGAGGGGATTCAATATGGCTAGAGAGCTCTGCCCCACTTGTGACATCACTGGCTGCACTGAGCATGTACATACGACCTAGTCAGTCTCAAGTGAATGCAAAGGGCAGAGAAAAACAACTCTGTATTTGACGTCCAAAGTCAGACTGCCCCTAAGCTCCACTACTGCCAAATACCTGCACACTAAATAAAAAAAACTTTTGACCACAAAATTCCTTTTCCACTCATGGAGGGAAGGGGGTCCATAAGAGGAGGACATCAACAGGGCCTACTCTAAGGCACCCACAAGTCTGCTGCAGGGGGTCCAATCTTCACCCATTATGGCAGATAATGCCAAAGGGCTTTCAGGTTCTCGACTCCTGAACTAAGGATTATTACACTGGGTCTGTAAAGCACCCTACCGATCTGTAAGGCAATGTTATATCATTGTGCAGGGTCCAGTGCCAACCAGCAATGTTACAGGCCGCCCCTAAATGTCCAGAATGGGGTCTAGGTACCATTCCCCTGAGCGTATGCATTTTTTTAATTCTGCGATTTAATACTGCCAGTATTTGAGCTCGCTTTCTATAGTTACTTCCCATTATTGCATAATACTAGAACTCTTAGCAGGAATGATAACACTGAGCTAAACCAGATTCTACAGGTTTCAGGCCCAGGGGACTGGACACAGACCTCTAAAAGGGAGGGCACAAGGGTGACCTCATCTGGGCAAGAAGGTGAAATAAGAAGCACTGGCTGGTTGCGATCGTCAATTTCATAGATATAAAATTGTACATCTATGCCTATGTATACTTGATGATTTGGAAGTTGTACTTTAACAATCTAAACAAAAGATATTGATTTTCTTTGTGGTATTAACAATATTGTAATAAATCTCATCTATGATCAGTCATATGATTACCTCCAATTTGTAATTCAGGACACCCAAGCCTTCTCATCTGCAGGTTGACCGACTCCATCTCACGGACCAAAGGGACCAGAATAGTTTCACTCATCCACTGAAATAGAAACACAGCTAAACATTTAATATCCTAAAACCATTAAAAACAAATGCACTCATTAGGCTGATTATGTGTCAACACACATTACGGAATTTCTCTGTCCATGAATCCACATGTTCCAGCAGCTGTCGATTCATTGCAACTCTTGCCCAGATCTGTAAAAAAAAAAAAAAAAAACGAGTATATGTATATATTGTCTGCATATACCAACAGCTCCATTTAAAATTAGAAATAAACTAGACAGGACCTCTTTTCTGACTTGTAAAGCAAGTATTATGGAGTTTTTTTTTTGCAAAATTGTAAACTTTGAATGCCCTGACTTTTTTTTGGTTTGAATGTAATAAAAATACCATATAGATATATCACCCTAAACATGGTGAGGTGAAGGTATTATTTCTTTGCAAGGATTATGTCCTGTGGTGACAAGTTACTGTAATAAATCTTTAAACATTTAACAGATCATGTGATCTTGAACAGTTCACCAATCACACATTAAACATATGTTGTACAATTAGATAATTAGCAGATAAAAGAAATGGCCCAGCTGTGTGGGATATACACATCCTATAATTTGTATCCTTGCAATTCTTTAGGCACAGATCAATCACCTAAAAGGATACAATTAAACTATAAAAGATGTAATTACTATAATTTACTTCTGACTATACCTCTTCTGCTGCCTGCTTGGAACCAAGATCTGCTTCATCCTTATGTGCAGAAGGAGCTTGAGATCGGCATGCCAACTGGTACTGGTACTTCCTCAGTGTGTGTGCATAATCACCCATAGAGCGGCTATAATTCCAAAATGTTGGGCTGTTGGAAGGACTATTAGATTCCGGGCTTCCTATATTTATGTAACCATTTAAAACAGGAAAGTGAACATTTATAGGCATAACAAAGGGTCATTCATATTAATAGTAAAGTGACAAGACAAAAATGTGACATTTTTGCAAAAGAAGGCAGTCTACTCATCATTAGATGTTGTGGCTGCATTAATTTCTTTTTTAAGCTTTTTTCTCCTCAGTTTTCAATTGACGAACTGGCCAGTAACACACCTCCTGTATTGGACTGCCTACATTCAGGATGCAGGAGCAATAGAGACACCTTTAGACAGCAGCATTGTCAGTCTGGGGGGAGGGTACTTACAAAATTAAAGCCAAACTCTGGCTCACACTCTAAGCAGCTGCAGTGTTTTTCACTTTTGGAATAAAGGTTTTACTCAAATAAAAGCTGATCATTGTAAGCACCCCTGGCAACATCAATAGTTTTTCTTAACTGACATCTGCAGGACAGCTTATTCTGTTGGAAAAATAAAGACATCCAGGCGAAATCACCATGTGAAAACAAAGGGAAAGAAAGCTAATGAAGCCATCACATTTCAGAACTGGAAAGCTGCAATATAATAAAGGTTTGCTTTTGGGTGCAATACCGCTTTAAAGTGTTACTAAACCCATGACCCTGCATTCACTATATCTGGTCTCCCACAGTACACAACAGTGCAATTATTTTAGTAAATATAAAACTGCTAAATATATCTTTTCTCATCAGCAGTTAGAGCAGTCTTGTGACTTCTATCAGTTTACAGCTGAGCACTGGTAAAGCGTGTAGGAGGATTTTTCTTTCTGCTCTAGGAGGATGTAGAACCCCTGTCCTCTGTCTAGACAGTGCTGATTGGCACTGTGCTGATCATATGCACTCCCCAAGGGAAAAAGAAAAACAAAAACCTCTAGCAATACACAATAAACCAAGCATTTGCAGAGTATCTCCACAAGATATGTCTTATCAGGAGATAAGAAGGGGACACTGGAAAAGAGGAGGATCAGAGAAGTCAGGATCAAACAGCCTTTTTACACAATGCAGAGGATTAACCCCTTAGATTCCACAGTAAGCAAATCAAGCATGCTTTAATGCATATGCAGATTGATTTTACTGTTGTGGGTTTAGTAACAGTTAAAAGTAGAAAATATGGCACTTATTTAGATTACCTGACTTAGGTTGAATGCATTTAGTAAGTTCAACAATACACTGTGTGCACAATTAATAGGCAAGTGAGTTTTTAATTATCAAATCATCATTTTTATGCATATTGTCCAACTCCAAGTTGTATAAACTTGAATGCTTATTGGATTTAAGCATATCAGGTGATGTGTGTTTGTGTAATTAGGGAGGGGGTGGCCTAAGGAGATGAACACCCTATATCATGGTGTGTATAATTAGGCAGCTTCTTTTCCTCAAAAAAATGGGCCAAAAAAGATTTAACCAAATCTGAAGTGTCAAAAATTATAAAGTTTTTCAGAGTGATGCAGCACTCTTGAAACTGCTAAGATATTGAGGAATGAGTACAGAAAAATCAAACATTCTGTTGTAACAAGGTCGCGAGAAACTTAAGGGAAAAAAAAAAAAAAAATAGGAAAAAAAAAAAAAAAGAGAAGGACGCAAAAGTAACTGCCGAGGATTTGAGAAGAATCAAAACGTGAAGCCACAAGGAACCCATTATCTTCCAGAACTGCAACCTACCTGGATTGCCCAGAAGTACAAGGTATTCAGTGCTCAGAGACATGGCCAAGGTAAGGAAGGCTGAAAACTGACCGCCACTGAACAAGATGCATAAGTTGAAACACTGGGCCAAGAAATATGTGGAGACAGATTTTTCCAAGGTTTTATGGACTGATGAGAGGAGAGTGACTCTTGACGGACCAGATGGATGGGTCTGTGGCTGGATTAGTAACGTGCACAGAGCTCCACTTCAACTCAAATGCCAGCAAGGTGGAGTTCTGGTATGGGCTGGTATTACTGTAACTGTAATAATAATAATAATAATCTCCTTAAGTCACATCCACATCCCTCATTACACAAATACACCACCTGATATGCTTAATTCCAATAAGCATTCAAGTGTATACAGCTTGGAGTTGGACAATATGCATAAAATGATGATTTGATCAAAATATTCACTTGCCTAATAATTGTGCACACAGTGTATATCCCAGAGAAATTGTCAAAATTGCAGGTATAAAAAAATAGGTGAGCACATTTATAATTGCTAAAAACATTTGTAATCTTAAAAAAGACAAAAAAAAAAAAAAACGAACTTAGGTTTTAAAAGTCACCCAATTAGTCAGTCGGAAGTGGTTCTAAAGGCTCAAGAATTTTTACCTTCATGCATTCTATACATGAAGGTAAAAAAAAAAAAAAAAAAAAAAAAAAAAAAACCCTTTTGTGTGCATCCCCCCCCCCCCCAATAATTATCTCAGTCTCCTCTTATCCAGCAATGTTCACAATAGCCTCGGCTGTATGAGGACTCTACCTCCTCATTGGCTGAGACAAAAAGCAGGAACCCATTGCTCCCACTGCTGTCAATCAATCCAGTGAGCCAAGAGCAGTGGCTCAGGAGCAGACACGCAACGGTGCCCCCAAGCCAAGCAGCTCTCTGGGGGCACTACCCTAGTGGGAGGAGCCAGGAACAAAGGTGGCAGACCCAAAAAGAAGAGGATCAGGGCTATTCTGTACATAACTACTGCACAGAGCAGGCAAGTATCACTGTATGGCGTGGCTCAGAACACATTCCTGTAAATGCTGGGCACAATGTTTTTTTCCTGGAACAGCAATGACGACATAGGGAAAACTGAGCCCTATACTCTTCGTCATCCAGCAACTGTGCAGTCTCAGCCACATTGTGAATCCAGCTTTGAATCTGGTTAGGAGGTTGGTCTTTGTGCTTGTTATATAGATGAAGAACTATGGCTGGTGCAAATAGTCTGACGCGATAAGGCTTCATACCTAGCTGGGATCGCTGTTGCTTTTGCTCTTCACTGCGAAGAAAAGCATCCAATACCTTGGGGTCTGTTATATAGTCTTCTGTGTCTGTTAGAGAGCTGTGGGATGATGGTGAACACCTGTAGCGAGATCTTAAGCCACTGCTTTCCACCGGCCCAAGAGTACTAAGATACTGTGGTGATGCCAAAGGAGGACTATAACCCTGCATCTGGAAGCAAAAATAAAAAAAAAAGTTTACTAAATACCATTTTCTTCACTTTCAGACTAAATGCTCCTTTACACTTGAATGTGATGCGGGAGAGCTGTGTTTCCATGCTTCCCACACCACATTACAATCGCAATACCCTTGTGTTCTGCTGCAAAAGTAAATGAAAGTTAACGACACTCCAAAACAGTTTTGCAAGCGCATTGTGCTTTCCAGCAGCAAACCGCATGGTACAAAGTACCATGTGATGCGGTTGCCATGCGTTTAAAAAGAGCAGTGCATGTACAACTTTTAGCATGGTGTGGTGCGATTTCATCCCATTCAAATGAATGGGCATGAAATCGCACTGCATAGATCTGCATATGAATGCACAGCATGTTCCTCTGCAATTTGTATCAGGGAATAGTGTGAACCGGCCCTAAAGGCATATTACCAGCATTAAAGGTTTATTACTATTTCAGAAAAAGTATATTAATATTTAAATATAAGCAAAAAATTCTCGTTTTTCATCCCCTTGGCAGTTTAAAGCCCATATCCAGGTAAATGTCAGTCTGTAAGCCATGCGTCCCCCCATATCTTCCAAACAATCCCCCATAAATTTTCACAGCTCTATATGAGTATCACCTCTGCCGTGAAACATCAATAACCTGCAATGTGTTCACAGACTGCATTATGCCTTTCCCCGTAGCACTTAATGGAAAAACACTGGCTGCGCTAAATAGCGCCAATAGTGGGTGGTGAACTAGATCTAGCTGGATACCCCTCTTTATAGTACCTCCTGTTGCTATGCAGTGTATCAATTCATCTGGGAACGAGTAACTAGTTAGAATTCACTATTTTATGCTCCACTCACCACCAGCAATGTCTGAATGGTTAAGTTTATTTAGGAGGTCACCCAAGGAGGAAGATTACAGACCAGGATGGCAGACAATACAGAATGAAAAACCATACACCAACTTGTAAAAGAAGAGTTGCATCAACTTATTTGAATATTCCCCAACAAAATCCAAGATTTTAAAATGAAAATTTATCAGCAGAGCACAAGACAATCACCACACCTGCAGGATGAAGTTCTCAATGGGACTTCAGAAAAATGTTGATCTGTCTTGTCCTGAGCTGAATACAAATACTGAATATGGCTTCCCTTTGTGCCATTATTCCACTTTAGGCTGCTTTTATACTACAGTGTGGTTTCATTTATACTGCAGAGCTTCTAAGAACGCACTAGGCTGTAAAAAAAAACAAAACAAAAAACAAACCACACCCGCTGATTAAGGAAGCTGGCGTCTGCTGGCTCCTTAAATATCAGCCATTCACTGGTCATGGACGCTGGCAGGTGCCCGTTCCTTAACCAGCATAGCAACTCAAAAAAAAAAAAAAAAAAAAAAAAAACACCTGAAAATTAACCTTGGGTGCGTTTTTGGGCATTTCCCATTGACTTCAATGGAAAGTGCATCCTTGGTGCACTTTTTAAAAGCTCATCAAAGATGCAAGCATGCAAGACTTTTCAAACCACAGCGCAGCGATGTGAAAAGTCTCATAGGATTTAAAGAGAAATAATTTCGATTCCATTTTTGTCCCACTAGAAAAGTGCGTTCCAGCACTGCAAAAGCACATCAGTGGGAAAGGGTTCTAACACAACAACATTCCTTTGAATCTATTGTCCTACTCCAACCTAGTTTTCTACTGGATTCAAATTCTAGAACTGGAAAGGCCATTTTCAATGCTATGTTCATAAAGCCAGTTTAAGATGACTTTTGATTTGTCTTTACCACAGTCTAGTTTTGGTGAGCTTGTGACCTCTGCAGCCTCAGCTTTGTTTTCTCTCGGCGAAAAGGAGTCGACCCCCATACGTTCTTCTGCTGTTGTACCTATCTGCCTCAAGATTTAATGTGTTGAGCATTCCGATTCACTTTTTTGCTAACCACAATTGTAAAAAGTGTGGTTATCAAAATTGCCATAGCTTGACAAACTCAAATCAGTTTAGGCATGCTCCTTTGACCTCTCACATCAACAAGGCATTTCTGTTTACAGAAGAAGTGACGCTCACTAGATTTTTTTGTTCACCATTAACCCATCTCTGTTGTGCATGAAAATACCAGGAGCTCAACAGTTAAAGAAACACTTAAACCAACTGGTCTTGCAAAAACCATCATTGGTTGAAATCACCAAATTACATATTTTCCCCAATTCTAGTGTTTGATGTAAACAGTGACTAAAATTCCTTACCAGGAATGACCTAGATTTGACCCAAACTAAACCCAGTCTGACAGAACCTGTGGTAAACGGTCACATGATCGCAGCCCCATCAGCCCAAATTAGCTGCGCTTGTGACATCATTGACCTAAAATGGCCACATGATTGGGTTGGCAGAGATGCAATCACATGACAGCTTCCCACGAGTTCCATCAAACTGGGATAAGACCAACTGCGGACTGAACCCAACGCATTCCTATTCCTTACCCAAATATGAAGGTTCTCCGTTATGCAGCTGCCAGATAATTGGCAGATTAGATAATTTCACAAATGAGCAGGCTTACAGGTGCTGCTAAACTTGCTCCGTGTATGGCCTGCCTTACTAAGCAATTTATTTTCCTCAACCATGGGATGGAGGAAAGAAATTAACTCTATTCCCCCATCAACATAGACCGTGTTGACTTGGGAATTCCTCCCTCGGAGCGAATGCATTCTCCTGCCAGGGGGGTGGGGAAAGCCGTCCCTGCCAGGAGAAGACAGCAATAACTGAATGTAAAATCCAGCAGGCTGGTTGTACCCAAGCGGATTTATCAACTTGGGTACATTCACAGCCTGCCCATATATGGTTCAAATCTCGACCGGTTTCTGCTTAACCAGCCAAGATTTGAACTGTCTATGGACGGCCCAAGTATGTTTACAACTAAAACAAATAAGCATAAAAAAGGAACTTCCTGTCCTGGATAAATTTAATATAATTTAAAAACATACCTTAGAATAACTGCTATTAGGCGTGTATGGCACAGATGACGTAAAAGAGTTACTGCTACTTGACAGAGCATTTTGTATTGGAGGACTATAACCGCTGATGAAACTGGAAGAGAACTTAGGACTCGTGCTGGGTGACCGTGAAGGGCTGTAACTTAATACACTTTGTCCTTGCACGCCCGGGTAAGGCGACGATGCTGGCACTGTATTTTTAATGAGTTCCTTTGGTGGGCTGGATTGCACAACTGCAAATTAGATCATAAAGCACATTCAGTTCAAATAAAAGTAACAACATTCTGTGCTAAAAAGGCAAAAATCTGTACACAAGGAAAATGGGTATTAACAGTGACACTAAACATTAGTGTCATAATCGCACTGTATGTAGGAACGTAGTCACCCCTTGGTGCACACTGCTGAGTTGGACTAGAAACTATGGAATTTGTAGGGTGCATACAGCAGTGTACATGATCACAATGAACGTACACAGCTCATTTCAAACAGAAATGAGTAGTAAAAAAGTTTGGAAGTTCAGAGTACATTGCAGGGAGGCAGAAGAACACAGTAAGAAACTAATGAAAATCAAAAAAGTTACTTTCCGGTAACGTTTTTCAAGACAGCACCTGTGCAAAAAAGGGGCTCCTCCCCTTTTTCAGGAAACACTGCCACATCAAAACTTTAAAAAGGAACATCTTTCCCCCAGCCCCTCAGTTCGTACAGAGTACCTCCACCTGGGACGACATAACATACAATCGCAGCGGCTTGCTATGGGGCACCTGAGCAGGTGAGTTCCCAAGCCACTGCTCCGAATGTCCATTCACACACAGAATTGCAACCCAGCCCCATTCCCTCTCCTCACTGACTCACTGAATGTGACTGACAGCAGCAGGACTCAATGGCTCCTGTTGCTGTCTCAGCCAAAGAGAGGGATAGCTGAGACTCCAGGGCACATCGCTGGATCAAAAGGGGGCTTAGGTGAGTATTAGAGAGGGCTGTGGGGATGCTGTACAGAAAAGGTTTACCTTCATACGCCGAATACATGAAGGTAAAAAACCTTCAGCCTTTACAACCACTTTAATGTTCACTGCCCCAGTCACCTACATCCTGTAGACATCAGGGTGGCCACCAGACAGTCTGAAAATCTCTTATGCCCTAGCAGCTGCTCCTCAATTTAGCTTTTCTATTTGAGGACACCAGAGTGGACCTTGTGACAGCTGGTTCTCCCTGCATCGAAGCATCCAGGAAGCTTCTGCTGCAAGTCTTCTCAGGACCAAAAAACCAAGCCCTCCTGGGCCAATGAGGAGCTACTAGGATTAATGATGTTTCTCCCTCAAACTTCCTTAGAACCACTGGCACCAAGGCCAAAAGGGGGGAAAAGTGTTGCACGGGGGAACCACCAGTGCGGAGAGAGAGCATCCACCCCAAGGTCCTGCATGTTTAGGGGAAAAAGAAAATAAAAAAAAATTGTGGCACCTTGGCATTTTCACTTGTTGCAAAAAAGGTCAGAGGAGTACCCCAATTTTGTTTGAAAGCCTTGAACTGTGCACCTATTCAGCCTCCCACTGCTGCCTCCTGCTGAGGAAATCTGCAAAATGGTTCAGTTCTCCCTTCAGGTTGGAGCCAATATGAAAGCTAGATTCAATTCCACCCATCTGAGGAGCTCCTCTGCCAGCAACCACAAAGCCATGTTTCTAGTGCCCCATTTGTTGACATATAATGCCGCAGAAACATTATCCAAGAGAACTTGCACATGTTGGCCCGCAAGATCCTCCTGGAAGGTTCTTAGCACCAGATTTAACCACTTTCATCTACCTCAAGATCTCTTCATCTCTCTATACTCCCATCTGCCTTGCATAACCATCAACCCCAGATGGGCTTCCCACCCCCAAGCGATTGCATCCGTAGTCACATGCCTGGTGATGGGAAGAACCCAAAAGGTGCTCCTGTGACAGGTTTGCTGAGCACCTTCACCATCAGAGCGTCCTCTTCACCTGGACTGGGATCATAATTAGAGAGTTCAACTCGAGGATAAAAAGCTGCAAATGCAGACTTGCCCACTAAACCACCAGAATGGAGGATGGCAGCAGGCTCAGGGCAGACACAGCTGCACTTACAGTCAGGTCCATAAATATTGGGACATCGACACAATTCTAACATTTTTGGCTCTATACACCACCACAATGGATTTGAAAAGAAACAAACAAGATGTGCTTTAACTGCAGACTGTCAGCTTTAATTTGAGGGTATTTACATCCAAATCAGGTGAACGGTGTAGGAATTACAACAGTTTGCATATGTGCCTCCCACTTGTTAAGAGACCAAAAGTAATGGGACAGAATAATAATCATAAATCAAACTTTTACTTTTTAATACTTGGTTGCAAATCCTTTGCAGTCAATTACAACCTGAAGTCTGGAACGCATAGACATCACCAGATGCTGGGTTTCATCCCTGGTGATGCTCTGCCAGGCCTCTACTGCAACTGTCTTCAGTTCCTGCTTGTTCTTGGGGCATTTTCCCTTCAGTTCTGTCTTCAGCAAGTGAAATGCATGCTCAATCGGATTCAGGTCAGGTGATTGACTTGGCCATTGCATAACATTCCACTTCTTTCCCTTAAAAAACTCTTTGGGTGCTTTTGCAGTATGCTTTGGGTCATTGTCCATCTGCACTGTGAAGCGGCGTCCAATGAGTTGTGAAGCATTTGGCTGAATATGAGCAGATAATATTGCCCGAAACACTTCAGAATTCATCCTGCCTCTTTTGTCAGCAGTCACATCATCAATAAATACAAGAGAAGCAGTTCCATTGGCAGCCATACATGCCAACGCCATGACGCTTCCACCACCATGCTTCACTGAGGAGGTGGTATGCTTAGGATCATAAGCAGTTCCTTTCCTTCTCCATACTCTTCTCTTCCCATCACTCTGGTACAAGTTGATCTTGGTCTCATCTGTCCATAGGATGTTGTTCCAGAACTGTGAAGGCTTTTTTAGATGTCGTTTGGCAAACTCTAATCTGGCCTTCCTGTTTTTGAGGCTCACCAATGGTTTACATCTTGTGGTGAACCCTTTGTATTCACTCTGGTGAAGTCTTCTCTTGATTGTTGACTTTGACACACATACACCTACCTCCTGGAGAGTGTTCTTGATCTGGCCAACTGTTGTGAAGGGTGTTTTCTTCAACAGGGTAAGAATTCTTCGGTCATCCACCACAGTTGTTTTCCGTGGTCTTCCAGGTCTTTTGGTGTTGCTGAGCTCACCGGTGCGTTCCTTCTTTTTAATAATGTTCCAAACAGTTGTTTTGGCCACGCCTAATGTTTTTGCTCTCTCTCTGATGGGTTTGTTTTGTTTTTTCAGCCTAATGATGGCTTGCTTCACTGATAGTGACAGCTCTTTGGATCTCATCTTGAGAGTTGACAGCAACAGGTTCCAAATGCAAATAGCACACTTGAAATGAACTCTGGACCTTTTATCTGCTCATTGTAATTGGGATAATGAGGGAATAACACACACCTGGCCATGGAACAGCTGAGAAGCCAATTGTCCCATTACTTTTGGTCCCTTAACAAGTGGGAGGCACATATGCAAACTGTTGTAATTCCTACACCGTTCACCTGATTTGGATGTAAATACCCTCAAATTAAAGCTGACAGTCTGCAGTTAAAGCACATCTTGTGTTCGTTTCATGTCAAATCCATTGTGGTGGTGTATAGAGCCAAAAATGTTAGAATTATGTCGATGTCCCAATATTTATGGACCTGACTGTATGTACACTAAATGATTCCCCTGAAGCAACTGAACCACCATATCCACCTTCAACTTTTTTTTTCTTTTAACCTTCTGATGCATAGAGCCAAACACGTACCCTGGAAAGGTCATTATTAAGGCCAGTACAAAGTTTGACTTTTGCAGACTCAAAAGCCAACCCAGGCTTTCCTAATATTGCTGAGCTAATATCAAATCAAGGGCCAGCTACCTCTCAGAGCTAGCAAAGAGGAGCAAATCGTCCAAATAAGCCACCACAACACTCGAGACGTAATGAAGCTAATGCCTCCAACATTACTTTGGTGAACATCCTGTGCGATGAGATGCCAAAAGGAAAAAGTGGTTGAACTGAGGATGTATTATCCCCCAATGTCTTTAATGCCAACTTGATGTGCTTCTGCGACTCTGGATAGATAGGGATGTGCAGGTAGGCATCTCTTAAATTCGATCAACACCATATAGCAACCCGGAGGGAGAAACCTCTTTGCATCAGTAAAATGACTTCATTTTCTCTGTAAAGTAGGCCACAGATTGCTCTCTGACCAGACCCACAACACAGGTTTGCATAAAGCCTAAGCCCAGAACTCCTTAAGAGTCATCATACAAGAGGTGCATTTCCTTTTTGTCCCTTGAGGCGGCAACTTAACATTTCCTAGGACTCTACCCTAAAAACACAAAAACAGAAGAGCCTCATTAAAGCGAAGCTCCACTCAAAAAGTAAACGTTCCGCTTTAAGGCCAAATCCCCCACTCCATATTAAGGACTGGTACCTTTACGTGTCAGGTCCCAGAAGACTACGGGGCTATTCTCAAGGTGCAGCGCTACTCAGTGGGCAACCGTCTAAAAAGTCACAAGCTGTCATAGCCAGGTGCCTACACTTTAATATGCCAGTGCCAGGGAGAGAGGACGGCCAGTGAAATCGGCTGCAGTGAGGACACCGCTGGGTCGAAGGACAGGCAATTGTCTGTTTTTGTAGTTGCTGTAGCTACAGTTATTGTAGTTGCTGACTTGTTTTACATTTTGACTGGGGCTCCGCTTTAACTACCATCAGCTACAACTCCAAAATCAGTGCTCAAAATCGCTAAACATAGTATGAAGGAGACAACTCGTCCAAGGACCACTCCTCTCCTGTAGCAGCCTCTGACCACCAAGAGGGCAACCAGAAAACAAAAAAAAAAAAAAAAAAAAAAAAAAACACCGCTGCATCTGCAGAAAACTCTACACCAGTCCCACGCCTGATCAACTTACTGTGTGCCTTGAGGCCACAAACTGCGGCACACAAAGGAAGTTCTGCCTCCTCCCAGAAAGGACGTCACCTACCATCCAAGACCAAACCCAGAAGTGCTGTAAAGTCTCAGCTGCCGATGAGACTTGAACCACTCTGATCCACAGGAAAGCATCTCCCCTTCAGTACAGACCATCCCTTGGGCACCGAGGAGGAAAGTAGACTCCCAAAACTTCCCCTGCCCACCGCTAGGCTAGATCCCCTGAAGTCTCTCTCCTCTGTGACCCACCTAGCTCCTGTAGCCAAACTTCCCCTAAAAGCAGCCAAATAACAGGTATCAATGAAGTGTTTTGCCACCAGAGAGAGAGAGAGAGAGAGAGACTCCTTTTCCTGTTTGATGTGGCAGTGTTTCCTGAAAAAGGGGGAGCAGTCTTTTCTCTCATAGGTGTCCTGAAAGACACTTGTGGAATAAACAGATTACAGGGACATGAAGGATTAGATGTGTATGGATTATTTTTAGAGAATAAAGATTTTGTTTAGTATCACGGTTAGCTAATCTTACTTGCCCAATGCTGTATGTTTTAAGGTTAAAACAGACAATCCTGTGGCATTCTGCAAATTCCTGCATTAGTCATTCTACTGCCCACTCATGTATGGCACACAGAAAATGATTGTCAGGGAGCAGAACAAATAAAATGAGGCGGGGGGGGGGGGGGGCTAGATGTCACAGCTTTATGTACAACTTTGGCCTAGGACTCAAGTGGCTTTAAAACAGATTGCAAAATTACAATGGGTACTTGCAGGGACAGAAAAAAAAACCCTTGAGAGTTCCCTTGCCTCCCCCACCTTGTAGGCTCCCCTCCACACAGACCTCAGAAGCAGTCCAGACCTACTTCCCGTTGCCTAGCTCCAAGCCAAACTGACCAATGTTTATACTCATTTTTCTACGAGTTGCCTTTTTAACACTGCAGTGCACAACTTCAAATTTAAAGAGATGAATGAGAGTCACCTTGGTTCTCCCATTATAGTACTTCTAGTTCTGCTTGTAAGCCAGCCAGTGGGAAACAGGTCTGCAGTCTGTGTGGGGTCCTACACAGAGAATATTAACTTGTACTTGAAAGCAGAACTTTATGCCACAAAATGAAGTCGCAAGCAGGCTTTTTGTCACATCCCTGGAGGGGAGCCAAGTATACGGAACTTTTTTTTTTTTTTATCACAGCAAAGTTCTGTATTTAAAAAACACCAATATTAAGAGATTATCTACATAAAGCATTGTTATGGGTATAGCAAAGACTTACATGACTTTGGTACGCCCAAAAGCTTCTGCTGGGAAGGGCTCAATGCAACGCATGATGATGTCACTGTGTATTTGAAGTATCTCCAAAATTCAAACAAAGCGTTCACACTAAATAGTAAAGCGAGAACTAGTTCTGGTGCAAGAAAACACAGTTGAAAGGTCAGTGATTGACAGATAAATATTCAGCTTCAACATTTTAAAAAAAAAAAAAAAAAAAAGTTGCACCTTCTCAACAAAAAAACCATACATAGGTGTAAATATTGTCTTCTAGAAAAACTTTGAAGCACTTTATAGTAAGGCTATGGGAATGCTCTGACATATTCTGGTGTCTAAAATACATTCAACCCAGGTTCACACTGATGCGGTGCGAAATTTGCACCGGTTTCTGTGCGATTTCTGAATCACATCTTAATTGCACCATGTTCATGTGAACCATTGTGGGTGTGTATTTTAAGTTAACACCACCCCAACAAAATATGTTCACAAAATGCAGTACAATGTGCAGAATCAGATTGCATGGGTGTGAATACCCATGCAATCCAAATCTGGTACAGATAATAAAAAAAAAAAAAAAAAAGTCCTGCACTATTTTGGTGCAGATGTATGCCTCAAATTGCAAAGCACAGAAATTGCATGTGATTTGCACAGGAACAGAGTGCAGTTCCTGTACGAATCACACGCAATGTGCCGCACTGCATCAGTGTGAACTAGGGCCAATACTGCAAGTTTATAAAATTTGCTCAAAGAAAGCAGGTCACTCCCCTGTGCAATTTAGATTGAGCTAATAAAGAAATATGCACAAAATTAATTACCTTGAAGTTATTGTCAGATATGTTTAAAGTTTATACAGTCATGGCCAAAAATATTGGCACCCTGCATTTCTGTCAGATAATGCACCACTTCACCCAGAAAATTGTTGCAATTACAAATGTTTAGGCATTCTTATGGTTATTTCTTTTGCTTGTATTGGTATGACAATAAAAAAAAAATATTGAGAAACAAAAAGCCAAATCTGACATTCCACACAAAACTACAAAAATAGATTGGACAGAATTATTGGCACCTTCTCAAAATTGTAAGAAATAATTGCATTGCAAGTTTGTGATGTTTCTGTAGTTTGTAAATAAACTAACCTGCATTAATAAACAGGTGCTGACAATATACACCCTGTTCCAAATTATTATGCAAATTCTATTTAACTGTCACAAAGATGAAATATTTTGTTTTCATTTTAACTCATGGATGGCATTGTGTGTCAGGGCTCTTTTGATCACTGAAAACAATCGCGGACACCTGTGATAATTAGACTGGCAGGTGAGCCCAATTTAAGGAAAAACTACTAAAGGACAGTGTTCCACATTATTAAGCAGAGCACCATTTTCAAGCAATATGGGGAAGAAAAAGGATCTCTCTGCTGCCGAAAAGAGTGAAATAGTTCAATGCCTTGGACAAGGTATGAAAACATTAGATATAAATGGTGAATGCTTGTGAGCTATTATGAAATGAGGTGTTCAATATGTGACTTTAGATGTCCTTATTTCTCACGTGAGGTTCGCTGGCACTTGCACTGACTCATATGCTAGTGTATATATAATATTTTCAAAATAGATAGTGCCGCGCTCCCATGTACCAATATGTATATCTTATACTTTCAAAGTGCTAATGAATAGCTTTCAAGATACTGCATGTATCAAACAATTATTACTAGTGACTCAAAACATCATTGTGAATATTAATCTTCATGCAAGTGACATTAATAACTGATAATCCTAAGGTGATAGTGCCTATTAAAGTACAGTGATATACAAATCAGAAATACTCCTCTATTCTACTGTGATCCTTATATTTATATTGTGCAAACACATATATATTATGTGCACGTGCTTATGATATATTCAATACAAAAAAAAAAAAAAAAAAAAAAAAAAAAAAAGTCTTTCAAAAAAAATGTGCAGGTGGATTCTTGGTTCCCTCTCGCCGAGTGCTTAATGGTCTCCCTATGTGCTCACCTCTATATTTGCCTGAATAAATCCAGGCAAATACACTTTTTATCCTTCCAGGATAGATGGGATGGAATGATGCTCTTGAATTATCTCAGAAGGTGGATGTGGATTTATATTTGTTCTCCTGTAGCTGCTCATGAGTGGGTATACTGACCATCTCTCTGAGGATCTCCCAATTCCCCTCCTGGGGCTGTTTCCTTTTCCAGTCCTCCTTATATCAGCTCAAAGGGTGTTGTTCAATTGAGAAAGGAAGACAAACAGACCATAGTGTCTTATCCTTGTGCAAAAAGGGGGTTTATTGCTGCCAGTTGCACAGTAGTATACAATTGTAGTCCAGCATAAATGTGCTCTGCCTCTGTTCCTGCAGTGCTGTCTACCTGTGTCTGTATTCAGATCACCGAGCCTCTCCAGTGCAATGTCGTGACGTCAGAGCCCCTCCCCTACGCGTATCGTCACAGGGTCACGTGACTTCATCAGGGGGAATGATTAGATCTAATCATTCCCCCTGATGAAGTCACGTGACCCTGTGACGATACGCGTAGGGGAGGGGCTCTGACGTCACGACATTGCACTGGAGAGGCTCGGTGATCTGAATACAGACACAGGTAGACAGCACTGCAGGAACAGAGGCAGAGCACATTTATGCTGGACTACAATTGTATACTACTGTGCAACTGGCAGCAATAAACCCCCTTTTTGCACAAGGATAAGACACTATGGTCTGTTTGTCTTCCTTTCTCAATTGAACAACACCCTTTGAGCTGATATAAGGAGGACTGGAAAAGGAAACAGCCCCAGGAGGGGAATTGGGAGATCCTCAGAGAGATGGTCAGTATACCACTCATGAGCAGCTACAGGAGAACAAATATAAATCCACATCCACCTTCTGAGATAATTCAAGAGCATCATTCCATCCCATCTATCCTGGAAGGATAAAAAGTGTATTTGCCTGGATTTATTCAGGCAAATATAGAGGTGAGCACATAGGGAGACCATTTAAGCACTCGGCGAGAGGGAACCAAGAATCCACCTGCACATTTATTTTGAAAGACTTTTTTTTTTTTTTTTTTTTTTTTTTTTTTTTTGTATTGAATATATCATAAGCACGTGCACATAATATATATGTGTTTGCACAATATAAATATAAGGATCACAGTAGAATAGAGGAGTATTTCTGATTTGTATATCACTGTACTTTAATAGGCACTATCACCTTAGGATTATCAGTTATTAATGTCACTTGCATGAAGATTAATATTCACAATGATGTTTTGAGTCACTAGTAATAATTGTTTGATACATGCAGTATCTTGAAAGCTATTCATTAGCACTTTGAAAGTATAGATATACATATTGGTACATGGGAGCGCGGCACTATCTATTTTGAAAATGAAAACATTAGATATTTCACGAAAACGTATGCGTGATCATCGCACTATTAAGAGATTTGTGGCCGATTCAGAGCACAGACGGGTTCGTGCAGATAAAGGCACATTGAGGAAGATTTCTGCCAGATCCATGCATCGGATCAAGAGAGCAGCTGCTAAAATACCATTACATAGCAGCAAACAGATATTTGAAGCTGCTTGTGCCTCTGGGAGTCCCACGGACATCAAGGTGTAGAGTCCTCCAGAGTCTTGCAACTGTGCATAAACCTTCTATTCGGCCACCACTAACCAATGCTCACAAGCAGAAATGGCTGCATTGGGCAGAAAAATACATGAAGACTAATTTTCAAACAGTCCTGTTCACTGAAGAGTGCCGTGCAACCTTGGATGGTCCAGATGGATGGAGTAGTGGATGGTTGGTGGACGGCCACCCTGTTCCAACAAGGCTGCGACTTCAGCAAGGCGATGGTGGAGTCATGTTTTGGGCTGGAATCAAGGGAACAGAGCTGGTTGACCCCTTAGGGTCCCTGAAGGTGTAAAGATGACCTCTGCAAAGTATGTGAAGTTTATGACTGACCACTTTCTTCCCTGGTACAGAAGGAAGAACTATGCGTTCCGTAATAAAATCATCTTCATGCATGGCAATGCACCATCTCATGCTGCAAAGAATACCTCTGCATGAATGGCTGCTATAGGGATAAAAGGAGAGAAAGTCATGGTGTGGCCTCCATCCTCCCCTGACCTCAATCCTATTGAGAACCTTTGGAGCATCCTCAAGCAAAAGATCTATGAGGGTGGGAGGCAGTTTACATCCAAACAGCAGCTCTGGGAGGCTATTCTGACATCTTGCAAACAAATTCAAGCAGAAACTGTCCAAAAACTCACAAGTTCAATGGATGCAAGACTTGTAAAGCTGCTATCAAATAAGGGGTCCTATGTTACAATGCAACGTGACCTGTTAAAATGTTTAAAAAGTTAAAATGTTGTTAAAAGTTTGATTGAAATAGCTTTTGATTTCAGTAAATATGCTACAAACACAACAAATGACAATTTTCAGTTCTTTACAACCTATAAAGTGTTTTGAAACTTACTGTGCGAAATAATTTGGAACAGTGCATTGTAAGTGTATTATGTTTAAAAAAAAATACTGTTATTAGGTGGTTTGTTCAATAAAATTTGAATTGTACTCTTAATAGTTGATAACATGAGAATTATGCTGACTGTTCTTTACATCAATTATTTAGGTAAATTAGAAAAATATAATTTGCATAATAATTTGGAACAGGGTGTAGAGATCACACCAGCAACCAGTTAAAATTGTGCAAAATTTACTCAACCTTTCTGATGTGTCTGTGCACCGCATGGAGAAGAGAAAGAGCAGCAAAACAAAACAAAAAAAAAGTGAGGATTTGAGGACAAAAATTGTGGAAAAGCATGGACAATCTCAAGGTTACAAGTCCATCTTCAGAGATCTTAATGTTCCCACGTCCACTGTGCGCAACACTGGTGTCCGTTTATGAACCAGCGGTAATAGAGCGCTGCCCAGTTCTCCTGCATTCTCGGAGAACACAGTTCTCCTGTGAATGCAGTTCAAGCAGTTCTCCGAACGAAGAGAAACGGTCTCCAAACGCTGGAGAACGGTCTACAAACTCTGGAAAATGGCTGATTTTACTATAATCTCGTGAGATTACAGTAAAAGATCAGTTT